GGCCCCAGGCCAGCAGCAGGCATGGAGTGGGAAGAGCCAATTGGAGACCACACAAAAGGGGAGGGGACTTAACGGGCAGCCTCTCTCAGTGACAGGTACCAGGGACAGATGCTCCAAGACATGTGGTCTGGGACCCCATCCTCAAAGCTGCTGGGTGGTGTGGGGGCAGGCAAATCACGTCTGTGGGTGCAGACCATGAACATGCACCCAGGGTAGTAGGGGAGGCCAGGCCAGGCCATCGGGTGCTGCATGCACACAGGGGAGGGTCTGGGGACATCCCAGGAAGCATGGCTAAGGACATTACCCACTGCAGGGACAAACAGAGGAACAAACTCACACAGGCTAGAGAGGACCGGCCAGCTAGTCTTACAGCATTTGGTGGGGGTGGGGATGGGTAGGGAAAGGGGCTTGGTCAGGGGACAAGGTGGCTTAGAGCCCCTTTCTCAAAGTCCTCCGTATGTGGCAGGGCTGAGTTTGGAGGTCTGGGTCAGAACCATACTGCAGTTCCACAGCCCTCAGGCCACACGAGACCTCCTGTCATGATAGGACTCTGCACACAGTAGGGCTTCCTCAATGTATGCTGGTGGCTGACTTGAACACACCTTAAACACGAGGAGCTGCTGCCCTCTGGTGGCCATGATTGGGATGGGCTCAGGGGAGCCACTTCCTAAAGGCCTCCCCAGATCTCAGAGCCACTAGGCTCACCACCAGTAGAACCTTTCTGTCCCCTGTCCCATTTGACAGATGAGGGTCCTGAGGACCACAGGAGCACCTGACTTGCAGTGGGCCACACAGCGGGCTCTTTTTTTTTTTGGTACTGGAAACAAGCTAGAGCTAGCTCTTGGTGCCGCGGACTCCAGTCCTTGTTGACTGGAAGACAAGTACCCAGTCAGACGTGAATTTTAGACAAAACAGCAAATGATTTTTTCAGTTTATGTGTGTCCCATATTATATGTTGATTTGCTAAAACTGGCCACCCAACTTGTCAAGGCACAGAGCTGAGCTTCACAGACCTGTGCAGGTCAGAAGCTGGCAGGGTCTGACCCTGCCACAGGCCACCCCAGGGCAAGGCGTACCAGCCTCCTGGTGTAGCCACTCTCCTACCCAGAGGTTCCAACCCTCGGCTTGGTCCTGGCTCCCTATGCCCTCTCTCGGGCAGAAAAGAAGCAACTTGGCAGGGCCTGGCCTTCAGTACCCCTTTGGCCAGAGGCCAAGCACATCTGGTCTTCAGCCCTCCCCTTCCTAAGGCCAGCAGTGAGGGCAGATAAAATATTCCTACTCTAACAGAAGTCCTCAGACGTTTTCTTCAGTGCACTAAATTCTGGACTGTACCGCTCCTTCCTTATAAGAGTGGGCTCTGGCCGAGGTAGGGAAGGGGGAGACAGGGGAGGGACAGGCCCTGTGGCTAGCTAGTGGTGGGGGGGACCAGGTTCCACTAGATCTGCCCAGTGCCTGGCTCAGTCCAGAACAGAAATGGCTCCAAGGGCCAAGCTCAGTGGAGTTGCAGGGCTACAGGCGCTCTGGCTGCCCCCAGCCGGGGGATGCCACCACAAAGAGCAATCTGGTCCTGGGGATGGTTCTTCAGGGACACAGGGACCTGCTTGTTCTCAGGTCCTTCCCTGAACTCACTAGCTTACCCACAGGGTCCCTTGGCCTCTCTGGGTACCATCCATCTGTAAGAGAGGGCACCCTCTCTTGAAGCCAAATGTACAAAGCTGGATGAGGCCAAGGACAGAGCTCCTCACTCGTCCTCCACCCCTCTCCCCGGCACTGAGGCGACCTAGTGGTCGGCAGAGCTGGGTTTGGAAAGGACTGATTCACCTTTAGGGGGCTGTTCTCCAGCTGGGCCCAGAGATGATGCAAGAAACCCCCAGACCCAGCCTGGGCGGAGGCCCTTGCCAATGAAAGGTATATGGCGAGGGTCAGAAAAACCCCAGTGGAGGGGCGGCCAGTCAGCCATCAAGAATAACTTCAGGGGACCTGGTAAGGGTGGAATCTCAGGTGGTCACCATTGTGGAGGTTACCACGTGGGGTGAGAGGAGCACCTAACTACTGAGTGATCACCCCCACCCAGTCCAGAGCCAGGCTGCCACCCTAACACCACCTCCAGCTGGCGGGAAGCTGGAGTCAGGGACACGGTTTGAATGCCACCTTGCGGTCTGTGTGACTGAGCTGGTGTCGAGCCCCTCTTTCACCTATGAAGCCAATTTGCAACCTCTGTGACATCAGTAGCATATCATCCTGTCAAAAGGACAGTTTCAGTTAGACCCTCTCTCCTCCCTAGGCTTTTAGTTCTGCCAAGAAGCAATACACACAGTTTAGTGGGTTTTGATCTTTGGTTTTGCTTTTTACATGGGACAGTAGTATGTGAATGTTCCTCACTCTGCTGTCACAATTAGTCTAGCTTGGTGGCTGCTCCACGTCAGCACCTGCAGACCTGTCCAGCTCCTCAGCAGCACTGTGTCCCGGTCCACTGGTAATTTCGGCACCCTCTTGTGTCGCTGGGGTTTTCAAACACACTGTTACAACGCCATGATGAGGCGTCTTGTAAGAGCCATAGAAATTCTTAGAGTGCCAGGCCAAGGATAATGTGAATTACTAGTACTGACACATTCCCTCAGAATTTTCTAGATACGGCGTGTCAGCATGCGTGCCTGTCCACACCATGTGCTGAGAACTCGAGTTTTGCCAGTCTGACAGGTGAAAAAACATGCACTTCATACTCATATATTAAATGTTCATATATGAGCATGTTTTTCATGTTCAGAAAGTTGTCTTTTTTGGAGAACCATGCTCCTGCCCTGTCCACTTTCCATTGGACTCTTCCTTTATGCATTTATTGGGAGTTTTTATTATAAAAATCAGCCCTTTCCATCATGTTGTCATTTTCCCCTTCTCTTACCTTTGACTTCAAATGTTCCCAGCAGTTCTAGTTTGTTACATTTGAAACTTTCCTCTATCAATAATTTATTATGGGCAAGGCCATGAAACACTTATAATCCCAGAAAACTGGAAGGCGGCGACAAAAGGATCCTAAGACCCTGGTCTCTCACAAACACACATAAATGGCGGGCGATATAGCTCGTGGTAAAGCACCTCTGGATTCAACCACCAGTACAAAAAAAAAAAAAAGACGAAAATAATTTTGGCATGTTGGGGATATTTTATTTTTCCCAAATGATTACCCAGTTCCCCCAAAGAGTCTGAGGCCTGATAATGCCACTTTTTCTTTCTGCTACTGGGGATTGAACCCAGGGAACACTTTCCCACTGAGCTACATCCCCAGTCCTTCTATCTTGATACAGGGTCTTACAAATGGCTGAGGCAAGTCTTGAACTTGCAATCTTTCTGCCTCAGCCTCCTAAAATTGCTGGGATTATAGGTGTGCACCAACACACTCAATATCAACCCCCCTTTTTAAGAAGCTCCAAGTGATCCTACCGCAATTTATGGTTTGGATACAGGGGCTCCATTTCCCTGGCTCTCCTCCCATGGGGGCTGACTCCAGCACCGCCAGGAAGAAATGGTCACTAGTGGCCTTGGTGGAGCTACACTTGCTTCAAACCTCAGGTCTACGATGCCTGTATCTGTACATGAGCAGACAATACCATCTTCAACATTTAGGTTAGATAACTACAAATTTAGGGCCTCATGGAAACAGTGCGTGGTGTTCACACAGCTAGGCCATGGGATGGCTGCTCACAGCCTCTATTCCCGCTTGCCAAGCTCACTTGCCTACTCCCATGTTCAAGGGACAGGAGCCTGAGACACATGGGGCAAGTGGAAGAGACTGTAGTATGAGGGGCAGGTTCATCTGGGGCTCCTATGCCCTCACTGTCCCTGCCAGTGGTGGACATTTTATCTGGCTGTGTGGAATTTAGTAGGCTATTATTATTTTTTTAATGATCATCTCTCCCTTTTCTTAAACGCAAGCTCAGTATTGCCACAGAGATCTATAGGTCTAAATTTTTTAAAATGAAACTCCCAACTTTTTTTTAAGATTTTAGGCTTGGTACCTAGCTCAAATTCCTTGAGTATGGTACGTTCCCACCAATTCCAGTTTTAGAAAGTAGTGCGTACCAGATCCTGAGCACCTGCCCTTGTGGCAAGCTCGGTTACCTTCATATACCTGAACCCTACTTCCAAGATTTAGCAGGCAGTGTAGACTAAGATATTTCTTCTGCCATCCCCAACTCCAGTCACAATCTATCTTCTCCATTGGCCAAGAAACTTTCCATCTTGGTGGACTAAAACCATTATACCCTGGGTCCAGGAAGGGAGACAGGGCTGGTGACAAACCAAGCCTTAGTTTAGCTGAGCAGGACTTTGGGGAAGGGTAGCTCTTGAAAAGCAGTAAGTCCTCTTCCTCCCCTTACCTGGGTTAACACTGCACCAGCTGGAGGGCTTCCACAGGGTAGCTAACAAGTCATACCCTAGAAAAGAAGCTGCAGAGTTATCCTGTCCCTCAACGATGGTCCTTACAAGGGCAACACTTAACTTCCACAGTGGAGGTTAAATATGAGCCTGCCATCCTTTCTGCAGGAGTAGGGGTGTTGGGAACACAAACATGAAAGGCCAGTGGTCAAGGTCAGACAAGAAGGTAAAGGTCTACATGTAATTACTGTTGTTGAATTTAGTATGGTAAGTTGACTGCCAGGTGCTAGGCCCTGTCACATGTATAAGTGTGAAATCAAGGTGGAAAGGGGAACACCTATAGTTTCTGTAGGCAAGGTTCAAAGGGCCTCATGTCTCTCCCTTGGGCATTGGCTATGATAGGGCAGGAAGGCATACTGTATCTCTCAAAAGGCTCTGGGCACCCAAGTCCATCCACAGCCAGCTACAAACACTCAGGGTGGACAGATATGCAGGGTCCAAAGGGTGTGGTCTTGGACCATCCATCCATTTCCCTCTACCTAGTACAGATTAGATCCATCATGAGAATCTGCAATACAGGATCCTTGAACCACCTGAAATGGACACAGTGCACAAATCCCAAGACCTAATTATTTCAAGATACTTTATTTTCAAAACAGGTCACAACTTTAAGCTTTTGGCCCATTCTGCCACTGTACAAGCTACAAATGCTTGCTGGGCAGCTGAGGGGGCACTCTTTAGTAGCTTGTTTGAAAAGTGAATAAAAATCCATATAAAACAAATATTCAAATAGTTTCCATAGGAACACAGATAAGTGTGACCCCATCTTCTAGTCGTCCGTATTGCTGCATCTGTGCCAACCCTACTCTTACAAAGACATTTCAAAACTAGCAGTAATTAAGTTAAATGGTCCCCCCAGATCCCTTAACTTAAGCTAAATCTGTAGTGAACAGCTACAGAGCGGCATCTACACRTTGATACTAGTGGAGGCGCACGCTGCTGGGTGACGTTTCATGCTGCTTTCCTGAGCACAAGACACGGGCAGAGTGCCAACGTCCTGCTCCTCCACTTCGGGTGGGAAGCCATGGTTCTGGATTTGCTGCATGCACTGCCTGAGAGACAAAGAAGGAGCATATTCAAAACCCCAATCACTTCTACCTGGGCAGGCACCCATGAGAATAACTCATCCATGACAGCATGTCCTTGGTCTCTTACACTATCAGGAAGTAATTCAATGTTTATTCTTGGTTATTTGTTGAAGTACTGGGAATTAAACCCAGGGCGCTGCACATGCCAGGGAAGCATTCTATTGCTGACCTACATCCACAGGCCTCCCCTCTATCCCCACCTCCTGTACTGGAAACTGAACTCAGGGACACACTACCACTGAGTTACATTATCAGCCCTTTGAATTTTGAGACAGGGTCTCACTAAGTTGCTAAAGGCTGGCCTCAAATTTGTGATCCTCCTGCCTTACTTCCTGAGGGGCATGAGCCACTGTGCCAGGACAGTGTATTTTTAAAACAAGCATTTCTGGGCTAGGGTTATAGCTCAGTTAGTAGAGTGCTTGCCTCACAGGCACAAGGCCCCGGTGGGTTCAATCCCCAGCACCACAAAAAAAAAAAAAAAAAAAAAAAAAAAAAAGCATTTCTTCAAAATTATCTGAAAACCTGAATACACAGTGATACTGAAGAGATTTTCTTTTGGGGGGGGCTTCTGCTAAGGACTACACCAAGATGCCTTGTGCATGCTAGGCAAAACTCTTACCACCAAGACACATGCTCAGCCCAGGTGCTACTCTTGTTAAAACCATAAACATGCATGATTTCTACTCACCATGTTGGTCCTGACATCACATAATAGATAGTTGGCCTCTGGAATCCATTGAAAGTAGAAGCAGCAGCAACAGTGTATGCACCCATGTTTTCAAAAAGCATCCAATCACCCACATGCATTTCGGGAAGGTCACAGCGCTCAACAATCCGATCAAGGCCATCACAGGTCGGTCCCCATATGCTGGATGAATAATACTTCTCATCTGGTTTAGGTCTCTGTGAAAAAAAAATTATTGCTTAATTATACTCGTTTATCAAATATCCTCATTGCTTTAGACAGCATGTTCACAAATTACCTTCTGCAGCAGGGGCTTTACATGTGCATGATCATAAAGGATGCAATTAAATGATCCGTATACTCCGTCATTCACATAATACATAAAGGTCTGTTCACTTGCCTCATCTTCATCTAGAAAAACAGATTAGCCTTAATTACTACTTTTTCTACCAATTTACATTTTTATGTGCAACAATTCACCCTGACCATCATACATACCATCAGAGCCTGTCTGTTCCTTTAATACAAGTTTTTTGGCAATGATATTAACTGCAAGCGTGAAAGCTGAAGCAACATAATATCTTCCTGGTTCAGCTATGATTCTCACTCCAGAGTCTGATGGAAAGTATTTGTCCAGTGCTGGATTGATCACACTGGTGATCTAAAAGAGTGACACAGAGCAGCCATTTATTATGAAGAGTTCACATGGAGGAGAAAGATCACAGCGCCTTGTGAGTAACAGTAACAGGACATGACAAGAGCAGGCACCAGCAGAAGCAAAAAATTAAAAAAAATCTCCCTGGAAACCAGTCTGTGTATCCCTGTTATTTCACTTGGGTGATTCCCCTGAGTACCATCTCTGCCCTTTTTAAGATGTTAAGGGCCAAGCAGTGACGCATACCTGTAACTCCAGTAACCTAGGAGGCTAAAGCAGGAAGATCACCAAGTTCAAGGACAGCCTGGCAACACAGCAAGGCCCAGTCTCAAAAAGACTAGGGGTAAAGTGCTCGCCTAGAAGGTGTGAGGCCCTGGGTCCGATCCTCAGCACCACATATAAATAAATAAAATAAAGATATGTATTGTATCCAACTACAACTAAAAAATAAATATTTAAAAACAAAACAAAAAAACTACGGATATAGCTCAGTAGTATGACACTAGCTGAGTAGGCACAACCTGAGTTAGATGGCCCCACCAAAAAGTTATGGATATGACTTTATCAAATAGTATGCATGCCACAAGGTCAAAACCTTTCCATTCTGCCTACCTCACTCACCTCTACAAATAACAATGCACATTTACTTTAGCAACTCAAGCGTCACATTACAGCTTGGCTTCCTAAAGGACTAAATATTAGATTGTTAGGGGAAATGCCAAGTCTAGCAAGGCACACCTAGGTTGCTTGCTCGCCTTCTCTGCCACTATCTGCACAGCCGCACTTCTGCTCCTCTTCTGCCATAATGGCGACTGGACCCAGGGCACTCTACTCCTGAGGTCTACCCCCAGTCTTCTTTTACTTGAAAAAGGGTCTAAGTTTTTAGGTTTTCCAAGCTGGCCTTGAATTTGTAATTCTCCTGCATCAGATTCTGACCAGCCACAGTAGCATCCCCCAACCCCCACCCCAGCATTGGGGAATGACCTAGGGACATTATCACTGAGCTACACCCTCAGTTTTTTGAGACAGGGTCTTGCTAAATTGCAGAGACTGGCCTCAAACTTGTAATCTTCCTGCCCCAGCCTCCTAAGTCACTGAGCTTCCAGGCATACGCCACCACAGCATTTGTTAATGTAGTAATCAATAACAACCCAAAAATTCTGGGAAAGCTTAGTTTAGAAAATGGTATTTATACAATTTTAAATAACACAAGTCACTCAAAATATTAACACTAAAGATACTGATTTTCATGCTTGTTTACCCCTTTGGTACTAGTTAAAATACTTAGGCTTTGAGGGCTGGGGTTGTGGCTCAGTGGCAGAGCACCCACCTCCCATGTGTGAGGTGCTGGGTTCAATCCTCAGCACCACATAAAAATAAAGATATTGTGTCCATCTACAACTAAAAAAAATTTTTTTTTAATTTAGGCTTTGAATAATTTTAAGAAGGCGCTTGCTAAAAAACAGCTACTGTGTAATCTGTCAGAAATTACCTCCTCAAACTTAAGCTTCACATCCTCAGATCCAGGGAAGCCACCACCAATATCCAGCAGACGCATGCTGAAACCAGCCTCAGCCTAGAGCCAAGAAGATTCAAGAGGTCACACAACCAGATCTGCTGACACACCTGCCCATACTTCACTAAGATTCTGTACTCACTCCCATGTCAAAGACACAGCGGGCGTCAGAGATGGCCTGCACGAAGGTCTCAGGATCAGTGCAGCCACTCCCCACGTGAAAGCTGTGAATAAAACGAAAGCTGTGAATAAAAGGACATGAGACGCTCTATTTCTCAAAACAGTAGGTAAAAGCCTGTAAAACTGACACTACTTAAACATATCAGCTGCTAACTGACACCAAGATCTCACCTGACACCAATGACATCAATATTTAATTCTTTAGCTCGTTCCAAAAGAAGTCTGCTGGTTTTGAGTGTGGCACC